TCAAAGAAAAAATGTAAGGGAAAACCTCAACATTAAGATAAAGATAATATTAACAAAATGTTAATTTCTTTTTTTGGGCTTTTTATAAACTTGTTTTCACTTTTAAATATAGTTATAAGAATGTGATAGCAAAAATGTTTAAAAATAACAATTTATGCATAAAGCTAACCAAACAATTTCAACAGGTTTCCACCTTTGGCTCCCAAACATAGCAAAGCATCATGAAAGTTTAATACCCTCTAAGTATTTGCATGGACCTGTATTTAAAATTTATTTTGGTTTAATTTTATAGTTGGTTTAATTTTATACACTTTCCTTTTGTTATGTTATGTTAATGGGAAGCAGTAGTTGTTAAAGTTTGTGCTTCTAAACAGTTAACAAGAGTGAAGTTGGTATCACAAGCAAAGTAACTCTAAAAAGCTTGTTAAAATTATGTTACTAACTCTTTTGCTGAAACAAAGTGTTCAGCAAGGGAAAGGAATACACCTTCTCATGAAAGATTGTGAGCATCTATTTTAGCCATTAAGCATAACATTTAGTATAAAATATTAGTAATGCACCTCAAGTGAAAATGAATGTCTATATAACAATTGCAAAAGTATAGTTTGTGTATAAAAGACTTGGTCCGTATTACATTGTAAACACTAAATTAATCATTGTATTAAATATGGGTTACTAAAACCAAGAGAAATGTAAAAACAATCAAAAACTTTGTTCTTAAGTTAGTTAATATAGTAGACACCATCAGATATCACACCACAAAGACACCAGAAGATTTCTGTACACAGTGAAGAAACCCCCAAGCATCAAGAAAAGAAAAATGAAGAGCTGTATAAATGAGGTGTATTTGACCAGTCTATCTACCATCTATGGAAAATTAATTTAACAATCAGATAAAAACCACTAGCTGGACAAGGATAAACTGTCTTTTAATTTCAATTTGGTTACTGTGTAAAAACTGTATTATTGTACTACTGTATTATTGTTGTATTATTGCTGTACAACATTTACAATGTGCATAACCTTGCTAAACTGTTTAACAAACAGGTAAACATCAACAAATGAATGGCAGCAAACAACATAAAGGCAAGGAAAAAAGAAATTGGTAAAGAAATTAAGTTACGCAATAACTACGAATTGGGTAAACAAATTCCCTGTTAATACCAGTCATAATTTGGGTTACTGACACTGCATCCTAACTAAGACACGTGTTATTCAAAACAATCTTGGATACCAATACTATATCCTGACACAGCAATATTTGATAAATTGGTTACTGTCCATTTAGTAACTCGTCTGGAAAACAACATCTATAAAAACACCTAGATCTATGTGAACTACTGGTGTACCATGGGGCAATGCAATCCATGGAACAGAGAAGCTAGCCATTCCTGTTGCCTGCCCAGCAAAGCTTACCAGAGGGTGACAGCCAGCAGTAAGAGTGACCCATAACATGAATGCACAGTACTGGGTAGTAACTAATTACAAGACATTTATATATATAAAGGCCTCATTTGTAGTGTCACTACTCCAAATTTCTGTTTTACTTCTCATATACATAATACTATGGAACACACTATAACAATGCCTATCCCAGTATTTCAAGTTTCAAAGTAGCAGCCGTGTTAGTCTGTATCCGCAAAAAGAAGAACAGGAGTACTTGTGGCACCTTAGGGTATGTCTACA